GATGAACAGAAGGATGCAAATTTATTATCAAGCCTTGCAAAAATACTGATGGTCACTATTATTCTGCAGAAATATCAAAGCCAGTCTGGTAGCTATACTGTTGTCTGAGTGCTGGGCAGTAAAACTTATGATCATTTACAAAAAAATATGTCAAGCATATTCATTTGCTGGCTGATAACAATAAGTTTTGTTTTGATATCTGAAGTCATTATGAGCTAAAGCTGAGTGCAGTTAGTGCTAAAGCCCAGTGATGATCTTTGCTTTTGGCTACTGTTTGGAAAGTTTCAGAAGTCCTTGTTTTCAGTAAGAAAATTTAGGACAGTCATTGTCTGGGTATGTTTGATTCTAGTAAAGCCCTTTAGTTTGGAGAAGTATCTTCTATCCTGGTCGTCTTTCATATTATTCATATTATTATAGAAATAATCTATTCTATGAGGTAACAGATTCGAGTAAATGGGAAATTGCAATTGATGTAAAGATATTAGTCATGTGTTCCCAAATATTAGCTAGTTTTGAAATGTGGACTTATATATAAATGTAATCATACAGACACGTATGACCCTGTTGCTACTAATAGTTGTGACAGTTCTTCATTCATTTTGCAAAACATAATGTATTTATAAGAAAGGTATCACTGCTGGACGTACTGTGTAGCTACAAAAATTAAATGTGAAGAAAAAAATTTTCTATCATTAGATTACTGACAACAGATGCTCAATGGTATGTATAAATACAATGCCATATGTCAGATAAGGCAATATAGTAGTTTTTCAATGTTGGTAATAATATATTTTCGTTTACTTAATATTTATATAATGACACCATATGGAGGTACCTACAGATACCACAGTATGAATAAAATTCCTTTTTAAAACCAGATTCATCTTCATGTTCTGAAAATACATCTGAACTCTGAATTCAGCCAGTGTAGGGGAGAGACAAAACATTGTTTACTTAATTTTGTTCTTGTGATTTTATTTGTTGGATAAAACTACTTTCCAATATGATGAATGGAAGTCCCCCTTCCCCCCCCTTTTTTTTAATTTTCACTCATTTATAACAGAGCATTGCGCTTCCTTGGACTGACCTTTTGATGTTTCAGTCTTATTTTTGTAATAAATGTTGAAATGACAGTTGTAGGTTTTTGATAAATCTTCCCCTCTGCTTTCACATCTTTTTTCTTACACATTTTATGTACAACTCAGTTTCCACTTCACGAAGTAACACAGTATAGAACTATCTCTTTAGAGAGGTGTTAATGGCATGTTTATGAAACAATGCTATTATTTCTCAAATGAAGTCCAGAAAATATTTATAAATTTAATAATTTTTAACAACGTATTTTGCCGAGTCTCCAAACTTCACTTTATTAAACCCATTCTGTAACTCTGACAGGACAGTAACAAGCTTCTGAGTTCATTTTTAGTAGAAAATGATTCACAAACAGGATAGTGACAGGCTTTTATGATTACGGATTTCACTTATTCTGTTCCTTCAAAGAGGCTTATATAGATTGATAGACCTACAAAGATAGAAATGAAAAAATGAAAGGAAGAGATATAAATAGACTTTTTCATTAGGATGAATGATGGAAGGTATTAACTCCACTACAGCAGTATGACTTTTACATGTCTTTTTTTCATTCCTTTTGACCTGCTATCATCTTCCTTCTAAGTAAAAGTTAACCACAGTCTGAAATGTGGGTAAGGTGAGCAATAGCTGGAAATAAATGTTTCCTCAAGCATTACTGCTGTTCAGAAAAGTGTCCATCAGCCAAAATGTCAGCCTCAAAATCTATTTAAGGACTGCACAGAGGCTAAACAGGCAGCTATTATTAATTTTTAAGTCTGCCTGACAGGTTTCAGATCAAGAACTGGGGTTAACCTGATGCACTGAGTATTGCAGAATGTAATTAGGAAAGCTTTGACTCTCAGAAGGCTGAGGATTTATTCCGTGCAAACTACTGCAAAAATATGAAAGAATGACTGCATTTATCTAAGAAAAGAACCTGCTGCATCGTATTAAAATTAATAAAATTGCTCTTTCATTGCAGCTTCTTGGACTTTCATCCCAATGTAATCGCTTTATACTTTTAACTTGACTATTTTCAGGCACTGCTACACTTCTCTTTTACAGAATGTTTTTCTTCATTATGCTGCAAGTTTCCAGAATAAGTCCTGCTATTCTCAGCTAATTACCAAACCAAATCATTTTCCCACTGTGGCTTACATAGATGTTTCTCCATTTAAAACATATCTGTGGAATTGATACAAATGAGTTAACATTTGTCTTTAATGTATTTATCTATAAAAATGGAGGACACTAGAATACAAATGGGCATTAAGAAACAAATTAGCCCCAGCTGAGATACTAAAAGGCTATTTAGCTGCTTTTGTTTGGATTCAGGATCTTAGAAAAAAAATTTAAAAAACAACAACAACAAAAAATTATTTTACTCCACTTGTAAAACCTCCAAGATGTGCCAGTTCTGTATCTGCTCCTGCTCCACTTCCAACACACTGCTCTTACCTCTCCTGCCCCCCTCTCCCCCTCCTTGAGGATCCTCCTCTAAATAAAACAAATGGATTTGCACAAGAACCTGGAAGAAGCTAGATTATACCACGTTTCAAGATTAGTAAGATGATTTTTAGTTGTACTTAACGAAATGCCAAATTGCAATTGGTAGTTCTGGAATACAAGCAGAAATTAAACGCAGATACCTGGTTTCTTTATGGAGAATGGGCAGTGTGTAGATTTTAAGTTCTGGATCTTCACAGCACTTGATGTGTTCTATTTTTTAATTAATGATGTCAACAGCTGTTATTCTCAGTGATTTTAATTTCTCTTGGTAACAAATAGCATGAAACTCTCAAAAGACAATGGCTGGCAGTTAGAGTGGACTGGGTCATGGATGTCAAAGACAGATATTGTCCCGACACTTCTAGAATATTTTCAAGTAAATAAGGCCATTAACTTGACAACAACTGTCTTGTAAGGCCCTGAATGTAAACTGTTTATACTCTTTTGCAAGTGACTATGTTTTCCGACAATACGCTATATTCTTTGATGTGAGTTTTGTATTACTTTAATTCATGCCTATCACACTGATGTGTGAAGCACAGGATAAAGGACCAAACAAACAAACAAAACCAAATAATTTAAAATACTTAAGTAAAATGTAAAGAGTCTGTCTTCTCAGGTACAGATATATCTTTGTTTTTATGTGTGTGTGTCTGTACACACACTGTTATTTTTTAGAGTTACTGTAGTTTCTCTTGCTTATCAATCTGCCAGCCTTCCTGATCACTTAATGAAGTCTCACACTTCCAGGGATTTTGTTAGCAATTGTCTCACAAAGAAAGTTCTCCAGACATCAATATGAAGCCCTGCATAATGACATGACTCATCGCAGCTGTACGATAGGGACAATTATCACTTGATTTCTTTATAGTCTTTGATCCACATCTCAAATTATACATATGACTTGCTGCCACACTATCCTTCATATTTATCCTGCACTACCGGTTCCCAACTAATCAACAATTTCTGTCTTCCAAAGGGAACTTGTCTAGGCTCTTCCTCCTCCTTAAGTCCTACGTTTTATGTTAGTTCTCCAAGTTTCTCACTTACTGTTTCTCATTTACTGTACCAGTCTTTACTTTAGCCTTTTTCATAGTGCACTATGTATACAGCATATTTATGATTTCTTCCCACTCAGTATTAACTGAGGATTTCCTTGATATATTTTCTTCCCATTAAAAACCGAAATGGAAGCATTAGTAGACTTGACACTAATATTTGTTGCATTACAGTGGAGAACTGAACAGAGTAGTTTTAACAATGAATAAACACTTGTTTCTCCACACTGTTTTAAATCAAAAAGTCTGCCTTTGCATCATAGTCATGAATTACTCAAATTATGTTTTCAATAAGACTTTGAAGATACTAGCAAATACTGCTTTGAGATCTGATTTTTTTTTTTTTCCCTACTATATTTGTATCACTCACAGGTGCCAAAGGTTTATTCAGAAACAAAACAACTATGTTAAGATTTATGAATAAAATTGTATGAATAAGTATTTGCTTGTATATTATTTAATCTACAGCCATAATTTGATGCTTTTCTTGGCATTTGTTCAATATTTTGCTAGAGATAGATATACTGCTTAACTCCTTATATGTGAGAAGTGTCTAACATTGACACATCTTCCCTATTTTACACAGACTTGCTCTTCAGTTTGCTTCTCTTTGCTCATCCAACATAATTCCAGTCTCACTACTGGTTTTAACAACACCTATGATAGCTGTGTGGGTAACAGTGTGAGGCAGTTCTCACCATCTGTTTTCTCATAGCTTACTACCACAGCATTCAACATATCAATGTTTTTCCAATGACCATTCAGTAACTATAAATAAATGCTTTTTGAATGCTGTTCACATTTTTAAACTTTTTGAACAAAATGGGTATGTATATCAGTGTTTTTTTTGATAAAAGTAGGTTAAGAACTTGAGGTCAGCATTTCAGATGCATGATCTAGTTGCTTTTAAGTGTTGAATATGTTCATTTAATTGTTAATGAGAGTGATACAGTACATTATAAATGGCTTGATATGTTATCTACATTAACTTTATTGTCAATAAAACTGTTCTTAGGAAAACCAGACTAAATGTCCTCAGGAGCTTTGATTCAAGTTTAAATGTATGTATAAAAAAACAAAGCATATGTGCAACATGAATGACAAGCTTTTCAGCACTATACCTGGCTCATGTAAAGGGTATATCATCATCCTTACAAACAAGTTCAGAAAGTACATACACTTGTAGAAATCCATACACTTGTAGTACCTAAGTAAATATGTGTTTGAGTAATATTAGTTGTGTACATGAATGTCAGACTCTGCCACTTTTCAAGCTTTGTTCTTCTTGGTAGTTAATGCAAGACCAAGTCTCACCCCAGGGACTGTGGCTCCAGAGACGAATAGGTGAGTATCAGTACTTACAGCTGTCCTCTTCCTCCATGAAAATACTGATCACGTAACAGGCATACACAAATCCAATCAGCTGCATGAAAGAAGAGGAAAAGTGATCATAAGAACACAGTGGACACTTAATAAGCTTTTATTACAATACCATGTAAGTACATCTGTCACAGCTATATTTAGAAAAAATTTCCTCCTATTTCCTGAATTAATATGTAAATCTCAGTGCAAGTGGTCACACACAGCTACATTAAAGACACTTTCTCTCTTTCCTCATGATATATTGTATTTTAAAATCGTCTCCTGTTTTCCTGCCTCACTGAGATCAGCACTGATGAATGCTACTCCAAAACACTAGGTCTGAACATTGAATTAGAAAGCAAAGCACTTAGATCTTGATTTTAAGTTACTGTTTTTTTCTCTGGATATATTCAAGACCAGTCTGGATGCTTACCTGTGTGAATTCCTGCAGGGAGCCTGCTTTGGCAATGGGGTTGGACTCAATGATCTCTAGAGTCTTCCAACCCATGTGACTCGGTAATTCTGTTATTCATACATTTGCTAAATATGTGTAGATACTCCCCCTATATTTACTTGTTTACAAATTTACCTAATTTACATATAAAAAAGAAAAAAAATATTTACTAACTGCTATGGAATTAGGTTATAGTAAAGTTATTACAAAATCCACGAGAAATGTCATTTTGTCTTGCAGAAAGTGACCCAGTAAACTGCTTGGCAATAGTTTAATTTGATATGTGAAATGTCAGGATGTTGTTAAACATTAAAATTGGGATATGATTCATCAGCATCAGGAAACACTTTATCAGAAGGGCCTATCTTTAAATCACATTCACTAGATAAGAAAAGAGCAGACTTGTTTTCCCAAAGGACAACACCAGCAAAATCATGCCATTGTTTTAACAGCAGCTTCCACAAAAACATTCTCCTTAGCCCAGGTCTGTGTCACTTGTGCCACTCAGAGAAAGGGATTAAAATTTTTGGGACCAGAGAATAGAAACTGTGCTGGTTTGCTTTTCGTATAGACAAAATCTTCTCTTATGACCATCACCAAAAAGAAGATAATTCTACTGGGAAAGGAAATCTATTAACTTCAATGCCCAGACATGCCCATGCTTGAGAAAATACTGTTTGTGCAGCTGTACACAATTTGTGCTATCTGAAAGCCTCAAAGAGGCTGTTCATGAGAGATTTCTAAAATAACCCAGAGATTAGTTTTCAAAAAACTCTTTTTTCATCTCTTCAATACAAAAAAAAAAAAAAAAAAAAAAAAAAAAAGCCTAATTAAAATAGTTCTTTTAAGGTTGTCATGGATCAAGCGTTTGAGAAAGAGGTAATTTAATGGTCTCCAGACAGGTATAAGCTCCTTTACAGGCACAGAAATCACTCCAACCTGCTTTCTCATTGGGCTACACCAAGAGCTTTACAAGCAGCTCCAAGAGCCTCTGCAGACAAAAAGCTTGTCCACAGAAGGGAATTCAGGGAAGTTAAGATGAATTAACTAAAGCTGTGAAATCAATGCACAGAAGATAAAGTACATTAAATCCCCGTGTGGCCTTCCCCATTCAGAAATAAAGTGGCCTCAGCTCACTGAAGCTTAATCCTCCTCCAAGGGATTAATTCTCTCTGTGGAGAATTAAGCTGCAGTGCACCCAGGCTAAGTTCCCTGTGAATGAAAGCTGCACTGTGTCCTAGTCCTGCCAGAGCCTCCTGCCTTGGCCATTCACCTTGCTGGGGTTTTGGGAAAGGAACTAGTGAGTTTAATCCAGCTTTCTTCTAGTTTTGAGCAGGCTCCAGCACTGGCAGCATCCTTGGCTTTTTTTTTGGGGGGGGCAGGGTCAATTTTACTAGGGAAAAGCTACCACCTTTATCAGGTGGACACTGGGTGGATGAGTATTTAATGTATGCAAACTGAAGCAATGTTACATAAAGGATTCCAAGAAATTGAAAAAGCAATCATACTTGAGGTATATTGCTTAAGCTAGCTGAACATTACACATAGATTAAATTGCTATTGCATTAAGTACAACAGAAATACCAGAAAATAGGTGGCTTTTCATGAGGGAATATCATCCACTCATTTACACTACTTCCATTCACCACTGACAGTGTGTAATTTGACCATGTGAGTCACTTGGGTTTGTTTCTTCTCCCTAAGTATGGGACTGAAATGTTTGGAAGCAGGCAAGACATTTCAGCCCACAATCTTTGTAGGTTAAATATTTTTGAAGGCAGCTCAGCTACTTCCTTAACATTTGCCATTGCAGTACTTCATGATTTTTTTTTTCAAAGTCAGGGAGAATGCTAGCCCCACCTCTCATCTCCGGCATAGAAAGAGATTTCTATTCTCATATACAACAATCTACTTGACCAAAATCATAGAATCATAGAATTGTTTAGGTTGGAAAAGACCTTAAAGATCATCGAGTCCAACCACAACCTAACCATACTACCCTAACTCTAACAACCCTCCACTAAATCATCGAAAGAGGAAAGCAAAAAGCAAGCAAGCAAAAGGAGGGAAAAATACTCTAAGAGGTCTGCTCTCTAAAAAGTGTGGGGCTTGGTAAACCTGATTGTCTTAACAGCCATAAAAGCTTACATCTTCTTTCAGTACATCTTCTCCTTAATGTAAACCTTTTTCCACTGATGTTACTGCTTGGAACACTGTTGTAATGTCTTTGCCATATCTCCTATAAAATCAGCAGCCTTTCACTGCTTATCAGTGTTTCTTTGTATTTCTTTTAATTATGAGATAAATTTTCCTTAATTAGACAGAAATCAAAGCTACTGCATACTTGTTTAAAACATAAAAATAAAAAATGTATTTACCCCATAAGTTAATTTTGGATAAAAGAAAAAATCAGGTCTTTAATCACATTGTACTATCATTGTAATATCATATTGCAACTCACCATATATCAAGAACTTTCTGTAATTAAACGGGAGAATGCACTCATTTCTGAAAGAACATGGCAACAAAGAGGAAAAATAGCCCTTTGACAACAGTTGTCCAGTATACATGCTCTGTGGTGGACAGCAATACTTGGCTTGTAACCAACATACTTGTAATTGTAATTGGTAACTGATATCTACACTACAATTAACAAGAAGTGATGAAGTGGGAACAAATTAGACCTGTACTGAGATACTTAAACAGAGCTATGGTCACTACAGTGGAATATTTTTATTAATGTATTAATTAAAATCTCCACTTTTGCTTTATTGATGGACATATGAATAAAATATTTATTCCAACAAATTACTTTTACTATCTTGATTAACCCAGCTGCTGTTTAATTAATAATGTTATGCTCATGTGAACCCATCCAGCCATCATGTTAATTGCCAATTTGCAGTGAGCTGACTGATGTGTATTGCCTGGTTTGTCGGTATTGGAAATGCAGGCTATTGGCCTGGCACCAAGTGATAGGCATAAATGTGTGTCCCCTGATAACTAAAGAAGCCATGATGCAATGACCTGGAAGATATTTCATTTGCTCATTTTGGATTTCAGTAATATTTCAAAGGGGATGATGAAGTAGTTAGAGCAGGATGTCCAAGATATCAAATTTTGTTAGTAATTAGAGGTATGAATGGGAACCTGGAGCTTGACACAGAGAGCAATTTAGATGCCAAGTGGTCTTGACAATGTTTTTTAAAGACATGGGAACCTTTTGGGATCCTTGCACTGACTGTTTTGCTCGCAGAGCCTGATCTAGTGAACTGTTTCAGAAGTCATTTGTCCATGTCACTCGGCAGAAAATGAAGTAGAAGAGGCTATTATCCTCTGCTTTCACTCATCTGCACCGTTCTTAGAGCAAAAATCCTGCTCTGGTGAGAGTAAATAATACATAAAATACTCAGATATTTATCACAGCAGGTACTGAGACCCCCAACAGCATCTAGTCCATCTTTCAGAAAAATCAAATAACTCTCAGAAGTCAGACAGTGGCCATGGTTGGAATCACAGAATGGCTTGACTTGGAAGGGAATTTATAGATCATCTAGTTCCAACCCCACTGTTTTGGGCCAGGCTGCCACCCACTGCATCAGGCTGCCCAGGGCCCCATTCAGCCAGACCTTGAATACTTCCAGGGATGGGCATCAACAACTGCTTTGGGCAGCCTGTGCCAGTGCCTCAGCACTCTTTGAGAGAAAAATTTCCTCTAAATATCTAGTTCTAATCTCTCTTCTTTTAGTTTAAAACCACTCCCCTTTGTCCAATCGCTATTAGACCATGTAAAAAGTCAGTCTCCTTCTTGTTTATAAGCTCCCCTTAGGTACAAGAAGGGACCTTCTCCAGGCTGAACAAGCCCAGATCCCTCAGCCTTTCTTCAAAGGAGAGGTGCTCCAGCCCTCTGATCGTCTTTGTGGCCCTCCTCTGGATTTACTCTAATATCTCCACATCTTTCTGGTGTTGGGGGGGGGGCTCCAGGCCTGGATGCAGTAATACACGGGGTCTTCTTCACAATGGCAGAGCAGAGAGGGACAATCACCTCCCTCATCCTGCTGGCCACTGCTCTTTTCACGCAGTTCAGGATACAGCTGGCCTTCCAGGCTGCAAGTGCACATTATTGGCTCATGTAAAGTTTTGGTACAAAACCTCATATTTCTTTGATGACTGGCAGGTAAACTTCACTCACATTCCCCAAATCATAATGATTACCAAACTCAAGGTATGGGAAAAAACTGTCACCTTGTTTAAGGGACAAGGACTCTGATTTGCTGTACATGATAGGTTTTCCTATGAGTGGAACATAGGTACATTTATATAATGTTATTATCAGGACTTTTAATATATAATATATATTCTCCCAAGAGCCTCAGATAAAAATGAAATACTACTCTCTTTTTTTTCCCTCTAGAGAACATACATATTTCAGTCTAACTAAAATCTCTAAGCTCACGATATGGACATCTGCATGAAATATAAATGCCTAAATTAATAGAAGTGAAATTAGATTATACAATTGTCCATCATTAAGCTGTAAAAAACTATGAAAACATGCAAGACATTTTTAAAAAACTAATCATTTGAGCAAATACATGCTGTGCTAT